GAGTAGATTAGTGGCATTTTTGACGGGGCGCGCCCATCCCAACTCGCAGGGCTATGTGTTCACTGTTTACTGCTCCACCACTGCGACGGGTGGTCGACTCAGTCAAATGACACATTAGTGCAGTGTCTGTGTCTATTATCGATGTTGGTTTTGGTATGTGCCGATATGTCAGTGTCGATGTTGGGTCCGTTCCAATGTTCGTGTCAGTGCCTGTATCACTGCCGGTGTCAGTATCATTGTCAGCGTCACTGCCGGTGCCGGTGCCGGTGCCAGTGTCAGTGTCATTATCGCCATCTGAGCCTGCCCCCACCTGGGTCCGCGGTCCGATCGGACAGGTGTCCGACAATGACCCTCGGCCGACTGCTGGCATTGAGCCGGTCCGGTCGGCCCCAGTGCCCCGCCGGCCGCCGCCCCGGGGTGACCCGCCCGCACCGCCCGGCCCGAAACCCTGACCTACCGCGGTCTCCAGCTAGATTCCGACACCCTTCACCCAATTAATATACCCGCTCTGAAATCTGACCTCATCTCTGAAATCTCCTGTCCCGTAAAAACTTGTCCTGGTTGGAGACTATTCCAGATCCATAATTACCGATTTTCATTCCTGACCCTGATTCTGGCCAACATATTTGAGCCATATGCCAGTGCAGCCCTCTAATGACCTCCTTGGAGGATGAGATCCCATGCCAGTCGGTAAACAGTCGGCCAAACGTTTCCACTAACCGGGCCAGGCCGCTGATCACTGGCCAGTGCGGTGCAGTGCAGTGAAGGTGCTGCAGCGATCTCAGAAGTGAGGAGTGTATAAAGGTGTGGTGGTGTGGTGTCCAGTAGATTGGACGGTGACTGTAAGAGAGCGACAAGCAGAGGTCGGTTCAGGAAAGCCATGGGCAAGTGGAAGAGACGGTTCCCGCGGCAGGTAGGAGTTGGGTACGAATGACGTGGATTCCTTTGACCGTCATAAAGGCCATCTTTAGTACGGCATAAGGAATATTTTTCATAAAAACGTAATTCAATGACTTTGTCAATCATTTCTTTTAAAAAACCAGCAAGATGAAAAATAAACGGACTATTGGCTGACAAAGGGTGACCGATGTTCCTTCAATTAGACAAACGGTGTTTTTTTATATGGAACGCAGTTCGATAACCAACCTCATCTATCACAAAATTTGAAACAATCCTGTGGACATTCGTTGTAAAACCGTCTCAAAGTACCTGCTGAGCAAATGTTTGTTTTTTTGTTCCTGGCCATCAAGGACAGTCATAGTTAGAAGATCGTTCATCGTACTCTTTTACGTTTTTTTTTTTTGCTTCCAAATAAGCTAGTAATCCAGTTAAAAACCGATTGCCATGTCGCCCGAGTCAATCCAAATTTATCACTTGGTCGATCTCCTTTGACTGATCGCTAATTTAGTTTAATCTGCCGGATCTCAGGCGAAGGATGGCCATCAGTCTGATGTGGTGAGCCGGGTATGTGATACTGGCAAGTAGCAGACAGGCAGAGCCCAGAGGCGGACTCCTCAATCAATCAATCAATCAATCACATGTATTTGAACATCCAGACGCATGTATGAATTAGTACAAAAGCACTTACGTGCTTAAGTCGAGGTACATCATTCACACTGGTCCATGATAACTGACAACAAACACCCCACATCACACATCACTTTTCCGTGGCTTCCCTACCTTTAACAAATCATATTTCTTTACAGTATCTCATATTTAAGACTCAAAGCGCTTGGTTTCCCTGATATACTTTTGTACCGAAGCAGCCACAGCCACACACAGGCTACTGTTTTTTCCAGGACCATGAAGTATAATAGTTAATTTATCTTTTGAGTTAAGCGTATGGTAAATATTTATTAAATGTCTTAACGATGCTTCAAGCTCTTCCCTTTTTTGTGCGTACTGCGGACAAGACAAGAAATAATGGTGTACTGATTCTGTGAGGGAATTGCATTTACAATATGGTGAATCTACCAAAGATGAATTTGTTTGAAACATATGAGAGTTTAAGCTGGACATACCAAGCCTGAGGCGAGTGTGCAAAATGTTATCTCCCTTAGTTCCCAAGCTATAATAAAACAAAGGTTTCGCTACCCCATACATCTTCTCTAAGGTTTGTTTAAATTCAATAGCATTTCTGATTGATTTGGTTTGTGCTGATAGTCGATTCCATCTTTTAATGGTCTAAACTCCTGTGGAGCACTGTGTGATGTTTAATGTTTATGCCTTGGTGCAACATTCACCACAGCCAAAACGCAGCAACCTACTAATGAGGGCGTGTTTCCCGAGAGGAACCTCTGCTCAGAAAAGAAAGAAGCTGCATTCAGTCCGTAGTGAAACGTCATTTCATACTTAAATTAAACGATGTATTAATTAAATTTGTAACAGGTACCCTGGCAAAACGCATGTTATGAATAGGCATTCGTACGATAAACAATGCACACTGCGTACATTGCGTACATAAACAATATACTACGTGGCATTTATCGAAGCCACCCAGAATAACTGCCACGTTGTTCAACATGCTGTGCCACCGACGTCAGTACCGCCCGCGATAAGCGATATTTATGTGTTCGGGAGATTTGTTTGCGTCTGGCCCGGCAACACTTGGTCTGCGCCAAACCTCACACAGCTCCGGGTCCTATTACCCCGGTCAGGGAACGTTACAATCGAACATTCCGTGACCAGGGCTCCTGGCTCCAGTCCAGATTTGATCATGAGACTTAAAGGGAGATTATGACCTTTTTCCACAAAATCTGAGTTAGGACCATTTTCTGACAAAACACAACAAGTTATAATGTAAATTAAAACCATTTTGCTCAATTCGGTACCTTGCCGCAAATATCTCAACTTGAAGTCACGTTAGCGGGGAGCGCTGAAAATGACCGTTGAATAAGTACTTACATCACTTTTTGGTACTTGCATGTAATTTTGTAAAATGAGCGTATTCCTTACATTTGATCTTCATCACATCTAGTTAGTTAATGGTCGTCTATAGTGCCTTCAAAAGATATTCATGGTTTGGGGGTGGTTTATGTCTAAATTTACGCAACTATTTTTCCTGTTCATCATCTGTCGCCATATGCTGCTATTTTAGTAGCAACGACTCAATTTTGAATCGGTCCCGCCGACTGCACAATAAAAAAGATAGATACAACACTTTTGCGGCATCACTGAAAAACTTATGCAGTACTGTTATCAAAATTCTCATAACACCGTTCGACAAACCTGAAGTCTTTTTGAAATAAATATGCTTGTATTTTTCGCTTCAGGCTCTGAGGCCAAAATAATGAATTTCGTAGTCGCAATCGCAAGATTTGGCTGCGTTTCTGGCGCATGCCGTTCATTTGTGGCGCAAAATAATGTTGGAAACAAAGAAGAGTAGGCACTATGTACCCCCGAATTAGAATCTAATTAATTCTAAACCGAATTAACTCTAATTCAAATTAGAATCCTTACAACCAAGCAACGACAAGGCGATAACATAAACAAAAACCCAAGCGTCGCTGTTTGAAACAAAAGCGCCATATACTGCGACTTTTTTATAGAGAAGGACAACGCATTTCGGTGGGTGTTACAAGTACTGCAAGTACTGCTTCTTTTTTGCAAAAATAAAAACCTTTTTCACATACGAAAATGTGCTAGGAAATTTTCATATTTTATAGAAACTACAGTAGAAATAGTATAGATGTCGAGTAATTTTTATTTAAGAAAAAAGAAAGCTCATTATCTCCCTTTAAGGTCTTGTCTCAGTTTGTCAACCCTAAGCCTTAGATTGCTGGCATTAAAACGAGAAAACGTCTTTTGTGGTTCTCCGGTGAATAAGCTGTCAATGAATAATGATAATGGTAAAATCAGGTCATTGTGTTTTAAAGGTACTGTTTCTTAGGCAGTGATCCAGAATAAGGTTTATCAAATTATTTTCACTTTTATGCAGCATCAAAATAAAGTATCTAAGAAGAAATTGCATGAAAGTAACGCCCCTCAAAGATGCCGTACAAAATATGGGAATGGGGAGGTTAATACCTAGGCACGAGGGCGTATGCACGGGAGTACCTACGCACAAGGGAAAATGCTATGAATGGATGTTCAACAAGCGAATAAAAGCGACGCATTCAGATCCATGCAGTTTACAAGAAATAAGTGCACATGCAGACGTTTCCACCAAGTGTCTCCAAACTGTCTCAAAAGTCTAATGCGACTGATTACGGGAAACTGCCCAGTGTCGTCACCCGTGAACTGCGCTGTCTCGCGACTCACGATCCTACCAACCGTGCATTAGTGGCATCGATCGGTAACAAGTGAGTCGGGGGTTCCCCGGGCTAGACACACCACTGGGGATCCTTTAGCATTGAGGGGGAGGCCGTCGGTGGTTCGATTTTTTCGAGCTAGCTGCAAGGTGGGGCGCATTTTTAGTAGAAAATCAGCATCCTCTGACCTTTGCACTCAGCTGTTAAAAACTCACCTTTACAAGAAAGGCAAAGTAGGCCGTGTTCAGTGACCGAATGAGCCATTGCACACCGTCTGACACTCGTTAGGAAAAGATCATCAACATAACGAGTCTCTGCCATTGTCCAGTGCCGCACCGGGGTATAATTATCAGCTCGCATAACGGCTTTGTTCCGTGGCAGTTTCGCTGTCTGGGTCACTGGCACGGCCATTTCTGGGTACTCAGCTGGGCCAGTCTGGAGGCGACACTTTTATTTTACATTATATCTCAGGCGTATACAAGGCCCTTTACCCTCACCTCGCCGAAAACAGCTCGACTAATATGGATGAGTTTTATTCAACCAATCCTTCAATTTACATACCAAATATAGACGAAAAGAAAACGCGTGTTTCGCCACATCACTGCTTGCTTCAATACCCGAATTGGTATGCTATAACACAGACAAGTATCAATCACACCGTAAGTGTTGATTTGTCTGGCAAAGGGTTTAGCTACTGAATGCTCTAGGAACTACCTCTGACGTGGTTCGCCTGTCTGTCTGTGTCTGCAGGGGTCGGCCGACTCCAACTACTCCCAGCCGTCGTCGGAGCTGTCACTGGACGAGGAGCGAGAGACGAACCGGCGCGAGACGGAGCGTCAGGCGCTGGCGCAGCTCGAGAAGGCACGGGTGAGAAACACGAGGGGTGGGGCACCGGAAGGGTAGGACGGAAGAGTAGTGCGTGGGGGTGGGGCGGATGAGCGAGGTAGGGTAGGGGTCGTGCCAGCATTTATACGTGTGATGACATAGCTTAAAGTTCTCAAGCAGCCAATAATGACGTTGAATTCATGCCCTGACGCCAACCAGCTATAACATTACCCTCATTCCCCCACAATATTACGGCCCTTTCTGTCCCTTACAGACGAAGCCGGTTGCGTTTGCTGTAAGGACCAACATCGCCTACGATGGCAGCCTGGACGACGACTCGCCCGTCCACGGCTCCGCCATCTCCTTCGACATCAAGGACTTCCTCCACATCAAGGTAAGGACTCGAGGACTTCCTTCACATCAAGGTAAGGACTCGAGGACTTCCTTCACATCAAGGTAAGGACTCGAGGACTTCCTCCACATCAAGGTAAGGACTCGAGGACTTCCTTCACATCAAGGTAAGGACTCGAGGACTTCCTTCACATCAAGGTAAGGAAATAAACGGCTTTCTCCGCGTCAAGGTAAGACAGTCAGGGACCTTCTCCGTGTCAAGTCTCCTTCGACAGCCAGGACTTATATAAGCAATTATCATTTGACCTCAAGGATTTTTTATGATCAGGGTACACAGTACGCCCACAAAGCGGCTCCTGCAACGGCAAGGGTATTTGGCCACTAAGCACCATACTGTCACTCGATAATTGGCACGGAAGGACGAATGCCTGTTCAATTCCCTAGCGTCCAGGGCCTAGAGTTCAGCCGTGCATTGTGACGTTGAGAGTGCGTACATTACCGGAAACATCCGATCGAATTGAGCCGTCCTGACAGCTGAGCTGCGCGCTGAGCCCCCGAGACCGCAGATATCTGACAGTCGTCCGGGAGTGATTTATGTATCATTGATCCAACCACAATCACTGGTTCGGCTCGTCATGACGTGTTCGGACCCCCGGCCACGCACGAACCGCGGCGCGCGGACCGATAGGGTGGTAACACTGGTCGGTGGTTGGTGCGTTACGTTTAGAACAAGTGAAGGGGTTGTCGCTCTTATGCAGTTACGCCTCTCAATAATGGCCAGCGAAACTGCAAAGAAAGGCAAAAATATTCAAGCGACGAACATTATCAGAGTCCAGTGTCAAGGTTTTTGTCTGTAAGCTTACAGACGAAGGTCTCGATTGCATATAATACAGTGACGAATTGGGTACATAAAGTCCTTACTTGAAGCATGCTTCTCCCAGAAACACTTTCTCAAGGAATTCTTCGTAAGAGCCGTGCATTTAAATCAGTAAGGTAACATTAGAAAGTCAGCCCGAGTCATGCGAATAGGGAACCGGATAGATAACAGGTATTGATATATTGCAGCCGCATGCAAACTTAATAATATGGTCGTATGTTCGCTGCAGAACGCTCCACTTGACCCATCAATATTTAACAACTTAGCTAAGTATAGGTACCAGCAAATGTAGGCAGCTGACCTCCCTTCCAAGACCCGTGTTCCTTTATATGCATGCTGTATCTCGCATCTTCGGTTAGAGTTCGATAGACTTCGATAGAGTCCCTAGTCCAGGGGTCGGCAAATGGTGGGGCATGCCCCCTTTGGGGGTAATGGAGCCCTTTCGGTGGGGGTAATGAGGGATTCTGAGAAAGCCTATCTTTTTTAGAGTTTGTAGCTCCAGTGATGGAGCCATCGTGACTGTTGCATCCCAGCCCCCAGGGTTCAAAGATTAGCCCAGGCCAAAGGCACAGCACACATTGATTAGATACCAATTTTCACGTACCTGCTCGCCTCACCATCTCACCCCTCCGTACAGTCGTTCAAAAGCAGCTGCAACTTTTAACCGTCGCCCGTCTGTTGGCGTTTCAACAGCCGCTAACGTAAGGGGGGAGGAGTCGATCGGACCCCCGCGGCCTCCCGGACTCTGATATGGAGCTGTGCATAAAAAAGACGAGCGTGCTACCCGTGACCATATAGGAAGCCGCTGCTGCCCATTTTTAAGGTCCTTGGTCATTCCGTCTCATTCAAGAGGGCAATGATAAGTGTCGAGAAAATCGGGACCCGCTATAACTTCTTGAAGTGAGATTTTATGGCTCAAGATGATCTCCAGAAAAAGCTCATAAGCCAACGGTCATTATGGGTCCAGAGGCCAGTTTTACCAACAGAAAAATAGCCGCCTGCCGGAATTTTTGCCTAAAGATCGTTTCACATATGGAGCGTAAACGGTAAAGCCCTATCCGCTTACGAGCCCATCGCGTTTACGCTCGGTATGTGAAGCGGTCTTGAGGCAAAAATTCCGGCAGGCGGTTATTTTTCTGTTGGTAAAACTGGTCTCAGGTCATGATATTTTCCGGGCTGGTGAAAAAAAAAAAAATGATGGGCTCGAGGGTACAATGTGGTCGTGATCCAATGCCTTTTACGTGAGCTTTTAACGAAAAACCACCCGCCGCCCCTATACGTACAAGGGTTAAATGGGATATAGCATAGGCGGCGGAACGGGGAGGGCACCGGGGCACCGTGCACCCTTTGATTTTTGCATTTTAACATTAGCCCTATGGGCGTTGCATGGAAAGAATGGGACCAAAAGTCGGCAGTGCTCCCCCCTCCCCCTTCATTGAAGGTGTTCCGCCACTACTGTGATATAGTCATTAAATGTTTTGTGGAGGAAGTGTCATGTTTTAAATTTGATGCATTGGAAATGCAAAAATACCCAAAGAGTTCCAGGACGGTATGGAATTTCAGTAAACTTAGTTGTGTCAGCAATGGGGTCTGGTAGGTGGGGGTAATGGCCCTGCCTGGCGCCCAAAAAGGGGGCACGACCACGAATGACCTGCCGACCACTGCCCTAGTCCCACTCCGATATAACCTGGGTACATCGTGCGGCGATTTCCAAGTCGGTTCCTACGTCTCATTAGTGACCTGAATCTTAGTGTACCTGGCGGTTCATCCACAAACTATAAGTCTCAGGATAAGGGTTCCGGCGGACGGTACTTTTGGTACGGTATACCGTTTTCCGTGCGCCACTTCTGACCGATGCCTCCCACGTCTGTGTGTCCAGGAGAAGTACAACAACAGCTGGTGGATCGGTCGGCTGGTGAAGGAGGGCGCCGAGGTCGGCTTCATCCCCTCCCCGGCCAAGCTGGAGACGCTGCGACTGCTGCAAGCGGGCAGCACGCGCAGCCGACCGCCGCCGGCCGGCACCGCCGCCGACATCCTCTCCACCAGTGAGTCCGTGCTTCAAACTGGATCAGCGAGACCGTCATATGTCATTTTCAAAGAGCTCGCTCTTCATTTATTGTGCATTGTCGTCGCCAGTGACCGCGAGATTTCATACATTATAGGCGTTTTATTAATGAAGTCATCCGAACGTTTGCTTGTGTCTTTTTCTGGGCGAGGGGGGAGTCATACAAACGAAATTGAAGTGCTTCCTCGCGTGCATCAGCGTCTACTTAATTTAGAATCCCTTAACCCAAAGCTAACCCCGGTGCTTTGCTAGAACCATGACTCAGAGAACCGGCTACATTTGAGCCCACCTCCGTATTGCGCGTATCACCACTAAAAGTCACAGCTAATAGCAGTAAATCTCCGTCAACTCTTACCGCGGTCTGTGGCAGTCTGTCACTGGCGATGACTGTGAATCCCTCCATGTCACTGACGACTACTGTGAATTCCTCCTCCAGGTCTGGACGCTGACCAGAATGGCATGGAGACCAACATGGGCGAGGACTCTGACTCAGTGGGGAAGGGGAAGCCGGCGCTCACCACGCCTCCGGCCAGGGAGAAGCGGAAACCCTTCTTCAAGAAACAGGTAGGTATCCAAATATAGACACGTCACTTTCTCAGCCATGGCACCTCAATCATGAATTATCGTCCAGTCGCTTTTTTTTCTACGCCGCCACCCATGAATAGGTGACCAGGAGTGCGCCCTCCCTCTATCCCAGCGACACACAGAACCTTACGTTAACACCAGACCAAACTTAATATGACAAGTCGCGGCACTCCCTGCTAAGAGTAAGGAAAAAAACAAAAGAAAGCAAATAGCTGTGGAGTGAGCATGCTGTTAATATGTTAACATAAGAGAAGCAAAGTGGTCACAACTGCAAACAGTTAGTGACTGCCCTCCTACACCCCTGAAACGCCCACAGATATACACTCATACAGGGTAATGTTAGTGGGAGGAAGGTGATAGAGGGGGAGCAGTCATACAAATAAAGTGGATGGTTGAAGGTGATCTTTCTGGTCAAATTCGAGCAGGATCAGTTACTGAACCCCTGCAGGGCCGTCCAACTAAGCAAGGCTTGTTGTCGGACAGCCCACAGAGGCCAGTTCCGAGGTGACAAGTGTAGAAATAAAATTTAATTAAAATAAATAAGTCAACATAACACAATCGGGAGGTAATGTCAAGAAACGCCAAGAACGAAAGACAAAATGTAAAATAAAAATAAAAATAAGATAAATTTAATCAAAATCAAATTAAGTTTAAATCAAATCAAAAAGAAAGAAAGAAAGAAAGAAAGAAATCAGAAATAGGAGGTAACGGGTAATAGAACTACCCAATAACCAAGATGATTTTATGTTGATCAAGACAGCCCATATTCAGCCCAGATTCAGCCCGTATTCAGCCCAGATTCGGGACACCTCCGATCAAGCTGAAACTCGCACACAATGTAGGCCATGACATGCCCAATCCACAGTCCAAGTCATTCGGTGGCACTCCCAGCCGTTTGACCTACAGAGGTCAGCAAAGGTCACGTGGCCCAAATTTGCACAGCAGATTGTGGCCCACCCAGTAGAGCTAGAGCGCTAAAAATGGCAACAATCGACTCGCCAGCATCTAATCTTACTTTCCCAACACTCATTTGACCTCTCAAGGTCATGCGATGACCTAAGGTCATTTGTGGGCTATGTCGAAAATACACTTGCACAGCAGTTTTCGAGTAGATGGATTGACCGAATTCCAAATCAGAGCACATCATCGGGTAGCCCATAGGCCGTAGTAACTTTCCTTCAAAACCGCTTTTCGATATGTGACCCCGTTTGACCTCTGCAGGTCAAAATGTGCAAATAATCGACACTCAATACGTCGCAGCCCGGATTCAGCCCAGATTCGGGACACCTCCGATCAAGCTGAAACTCGCACACAATGTAGGCCATGACATGCCCAATCCACAGTCCAAGTCATTCGGTGGCACTCCCAGCCGTTTGACCTACAGAGGTCAGCAAAGGTCACGTGGCCCAAATTTGCACAGCAGATTGTGGCCCACCCAGTAGAGCTAGAGCGCTAAAAATGGCAACAATCGACTCGCCAGCATCTAATCTTACTTTCTCAACACTCATTTGACCTCTCAAGGTCATGCGATGACCTAAGGTCATTTGTGGGCTATGTCGAAAATACACTTGCACAGCAGTTTTCGAGTAGATGGATTGACCGAATTCCAAATCAGAGCACATCATCCCATACTACGGCCCATAGGCCGTAGTAACTTTCCTTCAAAACCGCTTTTCGATATGTGACCCCGTTTGACCTCTGCAGGTCAAAATGTGCAAATAATCGACACTCAATACGTCGCAGCCCGGATTCAGCCCAGATTCGGGACACCTCCGATCAAGCTGAAACTCGCACACAATGTAGGCCATGACATGCCCAATCCACAGTCCAAGTCATTCGGTGGCACTCCCAGCCGTTTGACCTACAGAGGTCAGCAAAGGTCACGTGGCCCAAATTTGCACAGCAGATTGTGGCCCACCCAGTAGAGCTAGAGCGCTAAAAATGGCACCAATCGACTCGCCAGCATCTAATCTTACTTTCCCAACACTCATTTGACCTCTCAAGGTCATGCGATGACCTAAGGTCATTTGTGGGCTATGTCGAAAATACACTTGCACAGCAGTTTTCGAGTAGATGGATTGACCGAATTCCAAATCAGAGCACATCATCGGGTAGCCCATAGGCCGTAGTAACTTTCCTTCAAAACCGCTTTTCGATATGTGACCCCGTTTGACCTCTGCAGGTCAAAATGTGCAAATAATCGACACTCAATACGTCGCAGCCCGGATTCAGCCCAGATTCGGGACACCTCCGATCAAGCTGAAACTCGCACACAATGTAGGCCATGACATGCCCAATCCACAGTCCAAGTAATTCGGTGGCACTCCCAGCCGTTTGACCTACAGAGGTCAGCAAAGGTCACGTGGCCCAAATTTGCACAGCAGATTGTGGCCCACCCAGTAGAGCTAGAGCGCTAAAAATGGCACCAATCGACTCGCCAGCATCTAATCTTACTTTCCCAACACTCATTTGACCTCTCAAGGTCATGCGATGACCTAAGGTCATTTGTGGGCTATGTCGAAAATACACTTGCACAGCAGTTTTCGAGTAGATGGATTGACCGAATTCAAAATCAAAGCACATCATCGGGTAGCCCATAGGCCATAGTAACTTTCCTTCAAAACCGCTTTTCGATATGTGACCCCGTTTGACCTCTGCAGGTCAAAATGTGCAAATAATCGACACTCAATACGTCGCAGCCCGGATTCAGCCCAGATTCGGGACACCTTCGATCAAGGTAAAACTCGCACACAATGTAGGCCATGACATGCCCAATCCACAGTCCAAGTCATTCGGTGGCACTTCCAGCCGTTTGACCTACAGAGGTCAGCAAATGTCACGTGGCCTAAATTTGCACAGCAGATTGTGGCCCACCCAGAAGAGCTAGAGCGCTAAAAATGGCACCAATCGACTCGCCAGCATCTAATCTTACTTTCCCAACACTCATTTGACCTCTCAAGGTCATGCGATGACCTAAGGTCATTTGTGGGCTATGTCGAAAATACACTTGCACAGCAGTTTTCGAGTAGATGGATTGACCGAATTCCAAATCAGAGCACATCATCGGGTAGCCCATAGGCCGTAGTAACTTTTCATGAAAATTGCTTTTCGATATGTGACCCCGTTTGACCTCTGCAGGTCAAAATGTGCAAATAATCGACACTCAAAACGTCGCAGCCCGGATTCAGCCCAGATTCGGGACACCTTCGATCAAGCTGAAACTCGCACACAATGTAGGCCATGACATGCCCAATCCACAGTCCAAGTCATTCGGTGGCACTCCCAGCCGTTTGACCTACAGAGGTCAGCATAGGTCACGTGGCCCAAATTTGCACAGCAGATTGTGGCCCACCCAGTAGAGCTAGAGCGCTAAAAATGGCAACAATCGACTCGCCAGCATCTAATCTTACTTTCATAGGCGGCGGAACGATTTGAGACAAGGGGGGGCACCATGGCTCAAGGAGCCAAACCTAGGGTACCCCCAAATCCTGTTTTCTCATCGGATTTAGGCCACTTATTTTTCGTCACAGCCCTGACACGATAATTTTTTTTTTTTTTTTTTTTTTACTAAACGAAAATGGCAGTTCACCCCCGTATGCAGGGGTGTACCTAATTTTATATCTCTTTGTGGGGGCATATGCACCCACAATCCTGAAGTATGCCCCCACAATGATGAAAAGGCACCCACAAGTCTTTTACAAGGCTGCAAGCGTCCTTTCGAGAGCACGGTGCCCTTCGCATGCTCTAACGGCGTCCTCCTGACCGTCTCGCGTTCATGGATAGCGTTTTGATCACTCGGCGCCCTTCTGGGAGAACGGCGCACTTTTGACAGCACCACGCCATTCTCATGGTCTAACGGCGCCCTCCTGACCGTCGCGCGTCCTTATGGTCTCTGTTCACCGCGCATCCCTCGACTATTCGGCGCCCTTCTGGCCTCTCAGCGCCCCTGAACCACATATAGCGTTTTCAATCACTCGGCACCCTTTTACGAGAATGGCGCCCTTTTCATGATCTCAAGGCGCCCTCGTAACCATCTGGCGCCCCCACGTCCCCACCAACGTAGCACTACTGACTGTGCGGCGCCCTTCTGGCCTCTTAGCGCCCCTGGACCACATAGCGTTTTCAATCACTCGGCGCCCTCCTAAGAGAATGGCGCCCTTTTCATCGTCTCACGGCGCCCTCGTAAGTCGTAACCGTCTGGCGCCTCCACATTTGGTGCCCCTTCTACTGGATGGCGCCTCTCTACATATTTTTTACGTCCTTACGGTCAGTTTCCACTTTTAGGCGTGTATTTGCTTAGTCAGACACGTCACTTGAAGCGCCATTCGGCTAGCAATGTTATCAAATTCGGTGTTAATTTAGGCTCCCACATAAAGAATATCTATCGCGCCCCAAAACGGCCTGGCGCCGGGCGCCCCTACAGCTGGGCACCCACAATCATTTTAGGAAAATTACACCCCTGCCCGTATGTGTGGTTAACTTTAAGCTGATCCTCAAGTACCTATGTGTTTGTCTCTTCCTTATTGTCGTTTGATAAATTCCATTTATCCTACATGTATAATTCCCAAGAAGCCATCGCAGTACTAATCAGTGGCGAATCCCAGGGTGGAGGTCACATGGGTCATGACTTAGGGCCTGGGGTCACCACATGCCTGCCAGGAGCACCACAGGCCTGACAGCCGACAGGGGCACCACAGGCCCGCCAGGGGTGCCAAAGGCCTAGCAGGGGCACCACGGGCCTGTCAGTAGCACCACAGGCCTGTCAGGAGCACCATCGGCCTAGCAAAAGCACTACAGGTCTTCCAGGGGCACCACAGACCTGCCAGGGGCACCAGAGGCCTGTCAGGGACACTATCGGCTTCGCAGGGGAACCACCGGCTTCGCAAGGGCACCATGGGCCTGTCAAGGGCACCACAAGCCTGTCGTTGGCAATTTAGGATTGTCAGAGGCACCACAAACCTGTCAAGGGCACCTGCGTT